ATGCCCCTGCAGCTGATCTATTCATCCCCCGCTGCCTTGAGGTGATTTAACATGACTGAGGAAGAAACAAAACCTCTGTGGTTTTGCTTAGACCTTGCCAGAGTCTTGTATGGTTTCCATCTATGCACCTTAAGTGTCCCTTGTGCATTGCTCTTAATCTGAAAGAAAAGGGGAAGACAAAACTAATAGCGGACATTGACCTGCGTAAGGCAGAATTTAAATAGTTCTGAGATGAAACCTGGGGTCGGAAGCTCTGCCCCTGCCTAACTTGACCTCCTACAGCGCGGCTCTGCTTGGTCCATTTGCAGAGCTGTGCTTAAAAGGCACAATTTAATTGACATTTGGGGGTTCTTTCTTCCTGAGCTGCAAGAGAATGTCAGAGTGAGATATTTGGGATGTAAAATAGGGTCTGTACTGCTCTGAAATCATGGCAGTGAGTGGGATAGAACCCTGAGATGGAGAGGGAACAGACGTTTCAAACCAAGATTGTACCAGAACTTCATCTCAATGGGCTTTCAGTCTGCCTACTGCTTCTCTCAGGGCCTGGTCTGTATGTTAAATTAAGTGGACTCTATTTTGATATTTTTCGTTTCCTTTCAACATGTTATATTAATGGACAAATGCAAATACAATTAATATTTTAACCAACTGTGGGGTATGTGTTGTGCCGTGTATCTGTATTAATATTCATTGCTCTGCAATGACATGTAATTAATTCTTTGTAGACAGGAGAATATGCTGTGCTACAGAGATCTGACGCAGACATTTGGTGTGTAGATCCTGTGTCAGGAGAAGTATTTCAGCGTGGCAGCAAAGATTTGGATGGCAATCCTGAGTGTGAGTAACGCTTTATCCACAGCCTGTGATGCTAGTGGCAATGCCTCATGCTTTGCAGCATATGTACTTTCCTTTTCAGAATGATGCCCGTGAAACACAGGAGCCTTACAGTTTAATGCCTCAGTGATATAGAATCCTAGAATTGTTTAGGTTGGAAAAGACCTTTAACATCATTGAGTCCAACCATGACACTAAACACTACATCCACATGTCTTTTTAATGCCTCCATGGGTGGTGACACCTCTTCGGACACCTCTGGGTCACACATACAAGCAAAGCAACACTGAAAGGCTATCTGAAAATGGTTGTACTTTGCTTTGATAACACCGGAATTAAACCAATCTAGACAAAGAGATGAAAAGAAGTCTATTTCTTGCCACCATGGAAAATTGTTTGGGCTCATAGATGAGTTTACTAAGGCAGTGAATCCTGAACTGTGAGAACTGGGTCACGTGCAGTCAGTGAGCCCATTTTACATGGTCAACAAACACTCCGTGGAACGCAGTCAGATCTCTAATATCTTTTATTGTCTTCGAATAAAGGCAGAGAACTGTTGAAATCTCAGAGGAGATGGCTGATCCAAAAACTGAAGAATCACTGCACGTAGGAGTTGAGATGCCCTCTGGGAGCCCATTCACTGGCTCTGCTTTTCTGAGTAGTACAGAGAGCCCAGGAGCCTGCAGTTCTGCTGCTCTTGTGTCTTCAGTTCTTTAGCTAGAGATTTTCTGCTTACCATCACCCACAGAAAACTTGAGAGAATAATCTACAGGTTTCAGCCAAACCATCTGGAACGTGTCTAACAGAGTAGGTAATTACTCAGGGGAGAATAGTAAGTTAGACTACCCTCACCCAGCAAGCCTGATTGTTTTTTCTTATATCTGGGCTAATGATAAAGTCCATGAAGGTGTGCAACAGGCCTGATGAGTGGGAAATAACTGCTCATTCACTGAGGAATTAATTGTGTAATGGTTCATTACACAGGTTTACAAGCTTGCTCTGATACATTCAGATGAACAAAGTAAGTAAGAACCAAGCTGGGATTGAACTTTTTGGATCTTACTGTCAGGGGATGGTTCTACATAGTTAGTTCCCTTTTTTTTGTTTGTGGAAGGCTATAGATATTGCTGTTTGGTGGTTGTTTTGATTTTTTTTCTTAGTTTTAAAGGTAAAAAACTGGGACATTTTGACTATTTTAAAATTTATTACATTTAAAAATACCTTGATTAAAAAATCTTACTGAAAGATTGATTGGATATACTTTTCTTATTCTAAAATATCAGCATCTAAATGATATACTATCAAAAATTTTGTAAAAAAAGAGGTGTAAATGCAAAATAAATATCAGTATTTTTTCAACTACTTTATAGATGCAAACTCATATAACTTGCACTTTAATCTTTAGAAAAAATGTGGGTTTTTTTTCCTAGGGAAAGTAAAAGTCTTCATTTCTATAATGTTTCAAGTTATTTATGGTTTCATGATCACTCATCATTCCTCCTTCCAGTAAAACAGTCTGAGAGCACTGCTGTTAAAGTCTTTAGGGCAGCTTGTTGTCTTGTGTATCTTGCAATGGATTTCTGTCTTTGAAGGTCCTAGTTTCTGCAATATGCTGAAGTCTAAAACCGATCTACGAGAAGCTGGCAAAGGTTACATCCCGCAATGTGAAGGGGACGATGGGGCTTTCTCACCCGTGCAGTGCAGCCAAGATCAAGAGAGCTGCTGGTGTGTCTTTGACAGTGGAGAAGAGGTGCCAGGGACACGAGTGAGTGGAGGAAGACCTGCATGTGCAAGTGAGTTCCTGCTTGAGGCGCATTGCTTCTGAGCAAATCCTTGTCTGGAACTTGACTCAGATTCTAACTTTTTCAGGTATTTAGCTGTATTTGACCGTCTTTGTTCAGACCTTTATAGAGACTCTTGCTCAAGCAGTATGCTTATCTTTTTGTTAGAGCAGATTTTAGACCTACCTGGCATGATGTTCTCTTCAAGTGCTTTGTCAGGGAGAAAGGAGAAGGGAATGGACTTTTGACTTTCCCTTTTTCATAAAATTGGTTAAATCAAAGCAGTTGAGCTACGAAACTTAGCTAAAAACTCAATCTAAACAGTTTGCTGCGGACTTAAACCTGTTCCAGTCTGAGCTGGCTCTGAGATTAAAAGCCATTCAACTGACTAAATAAAATTTGAAAAATGTACACTTCTGCCATTCCTACTCTTGACTTATGACCAGAGTTGTGAAAAGGGTGTGCCAAAACACTACATATTCACAGGATATTTCCTGAATGACCAGAACTGCAAAGTACTGGAATTCACTCATCATTTCCAGTGAGATGTCCAAATGGGATACATTTGGATAAATTTAAATTGCAATGGCCTTTATACATCTTCCCATCACTGAAGTGAAGCCAAATAAATTAAACTTTCTACAAGGCCATGCTCCAAACTGTAATGATTAGTGGAAACTAACAGAAAATCTTCAACTAATGCCTGTACAACACTACTGTTTGTCTAGTTCTTTTTTGTTTGTTTGTTTGTTCATTTTTTTTAAAAGAAATACCTAGAGCTGTTGGTAGAATGAGACCACACGATAAGAAAATAGTTTTGTGATTCTACTATACAAAGAGAAACACATGCTCACTAAACTGATTGTGTCAGCCCAACTGGCTATAAGGCATTTTAATCAATTAGATAGTTCCTCATCCAGCTTGGAAGCCACCACCAGCAGCATTTTCTTGGAACTCCCTTGTACCAATAGGAAGCTATGTGGATGGGATTTATGAGAACCCGCAAGGAAAGCCCAGGGTTGTATCTGCCCCAGGCATTGTGATGTTGTGTGGGGATCAGGGAGTGTAGTGTGAATCTCGAGATGTGCCTTTAAGATGGTTTTGCATTTTGCGTGCACATCTGATGTTTCTTGGGATCCAATAATGCTGTACTTTTCCTAAAGGAAACAGTGACTGAATGATTAATGATGCTTATTTTTTAAACGACTGAGCTAAGAGAGAGTAGTGCTTTGAAAATATAGTAGAAACCTGGCTTTACTGAAAGCTATTTGTTGTTTTCTGCATAGAAATACCACTGAAATAATCTTTAATGATTTTCCTGAATTTTGAAATAGCAATGGAACTTTTTCATGCTAAACAACTTAGCTATTGTGTAAGAATAAAGGAGCAAAAGTTATTTTTCTCCTCAGTCTATCCAGCCTTATACCTCTAGTTCTGGGAATTTCTAATAATTTTTCAGGAAAAAGGGAAAGGAGTACTATCTCACTGTCTTGGCGATCATATATATCAGCAAAAGAAGTTGTTGTGGTGGGAAAGTACGATAAACTTCTCCAGCATCAAAACAGACAGCTATAAACAGCAAGTAATAACTTCACAGTGCCCGGTGCATGCAATGAGGTTTTCATTAGCTTAATCTTTTCCATCAGAGTTAGAATCCAACTTTTTCTAGTTGACATGCACTGAGAGAGATGGTGCCAAGTATCCTGGCAGTCCTCACACGCATCTCCCATCCTCATACTTACTTTCTACAACTCTAAGTAGATATAGAGGAGAGAAAGCCTTCCAGAAAAGATCATGGAGAGTAATTCTCTTATAGAAATCTTTAGAAACACCTGTGAAAAGTCAATATTCAACTGGATTCTAATCCACTCCTGCAAGACCAAGAAATTGATGTAGAAATAGAATAATGACAAAATGGTGCAGGCTTGATAATTATAGGAAATGAGATGACATCTGTAGAGGGATAAATGAGCAAATTACTAATAGTGAATTGAAACCCATAAACCACACCAGGAAACCATCCATCACTTAGATTTTGCGGGCTGGGTATTTCCCTAGTTCACATACAAGCTCTCATTGGAACAGAGAGTAGAAGACTGTAGCAACATACAGCTGAGATTGGATTTGACTTGCTGGATATAGAAATGTGTTAGAGCAATAAAGAGACCACAGACTGGTTTTTATATAGTTCGTGTAAAGATATATTATATCTTATATATTATATCTTATATATATTATATG